ACTCACTCCAACCCTCAGACAGAACTTAAGTCTCATGCCCAGAGATTCAGCCCAACCTGAGGAACCCTGCTCATGTTTTTCCAACCCCCAGTTAATGCTCCCTAGTTGGTAGAGAAGTGAAGTGGAAGAAAAGTTGTCGTGGTTGTCTGTGGTTTCTCCCTCCCAGTTCTGAGTTTCTGAGTAGCATCAGACCAGGCTGACCCCACTCTTTCTGAAATCCTACAAAATAAAACAAAAATATTGGGACCAGACACACATTCTGTGCACAACCAACTCTGCTGTATCCAAAACAGACACACAACCAATAAAAATAAAGTTCACATTCTCAGGTCTCATCACAAGACCACAAACAATATGAAAGGTCAAAATAGCATGTCTCCTCCAAAATCCTCCAGTCCTATAGAAATGGTCTCTAATGAGAATTACCCAGTTGAACCTCAGGACACAGATCTTAGAACAACCATAATATTCATCAAAGAATTAAAGGAGTTTAAAGAAGACAAAAATAAACGGCTCAATGATTTTAAATAGAACAGACACAAAGAGGAAAAAATACCTAAGTGATGCCCAAGAAAATATAAACATACAGATAAATGAAATGACAAAGAGAATCTAGGATTTGAAAGCTGAATTCAATAAAGGGATAGAAACATTGAGGAGAACTCAACATGAAATGAAGATGGAATTGAAAAACTCAATATCCTGATTAGAAAACTTAGGGGAAAGCTTACAAGTAGAATGGATCAAGTACACGATATAATACCAAGCTTCAGAGATAAAGTAGAGGAAAAAATAATATGAAAAATTAAAACTATAGGAAAGGAACATGCGGGAAATGCAGGCCACCACAAAAGGTAAAATCTTTAAATTGTAGGTATAGATGAGGAATAAGAATGCCAGGTTAATGGCATAGACCAGATCTTCAACAAAACCATAGAAGAAAACTTCCCCAAACTAAGGAAAGATACACCCATATAGATAAAAGAAGCACACAGAACTCTTGACTAGATAAGACCAGAAAATAAACTCCCTATGATGTATCTTAGTTAAAGCACCAAGTATATGGAACAAGGAAAGAGTATTGAAAGCAGAAAGAGAAAAAAATACAAGTCACAAATAAAGCAAAACCCATTAGAATCACAGCTGATTTCTCAGTGGAAGTGGTGAAAGCCAGTAGATCTGGAGAGATGCACTCACTCCAAGTTCTAAAGACTGAGGATGGTAACCTAGATTGTGGTACCCAGTAGAAGCATCTGTCATGGTTTAAGGAGGAAGAAAAACTGTTGTTCATGGTATAAAGAGCCTAAAAACTTCATGTCTACAAACCCAAGCCTGAACAGTACTAGAAGCAGTGACACAGTGCCTCCAACAAAGCCACACCTTCTTGATTAGGTGTATTTCAAAATATTTTCTTTTCTCTGAGGCTATTGTGAAGGGGGCTGTGCCCACGATCTCTTTCTCTGCATTTTTCTTGTTGGTGCATGGAAAGACTACTGTTTATAAGATTATTTTTGTATCCTTCCACTTTGTGAAATTATTGATCATTGATACTGCTCTTGCTCAAGAAATGAATAACCTCTACAATGAAAACTTCAAATCTCTAAAGAAAGGAATTAGGAAAGACATTAGAAAACGGGGAAAAATGTCCATCCTCATGGATTAGTATAATCAATAGTGTGAAAACGATCATTCTGCCAAAAGCAATACCTCTATAGAGAAACACAATCTAAAAAAGAAAATAAAACAAAAATATACTCTTTAAGAAAGAACATAAAAAGAACTAGCCTTATAGCTTGCTCATTATTAAAATCCACAACTCTCTGCCAGGACCCAGTCCAGCTCAGGAGGGCAGAGACACCATAGCTACAGTCCTATGGAGGAGTCTTCAGCCCCCACTACTACACTCCCTTTCTTGTGCTCTTGGAATAGGCTTGAATCAAATCTTCCTCTTATACTCCAGCAGAATAGGATGCAAATATGCTGAAGTTTTCCTTAAAGGAAAAAGTTGAACAGAAATGTGCAAAGAAGAGGGCAAATGGCCTCACTATTTTGGTCATCATTTTCTGCCTGTAGAATAAGAGTTCATTCCTGATCTTGGACATGGATCACTCCTCAGGTGACACAAGGCTGCCAGCCTGAACTGATCCCAGAGCAGGATAATATGGGAAGCAGACTTGGAAAAAAGGAGAGGGAGGTAGGGAGAGGAGTTGTTGAAAATCAAGTCAGTTTCCTTCATAGCTACTAGCTGCACACCTTCTAGCTGCACACCTTCTAGCTGCACACCTTCTAGCTGCACACCTACTAGCTGCACACCTTCTTTTGTCTTGGTCTGAGGCCAGACACCACTGTGGTTTTTCGACTCTTATTCCCCAAAGACATTTTCAATTCCCTTAGTCTCTTTCCCTGATCAAAGTCTGCATCTTCTATTTTAGAATAGTCTCACAGTCCTCTTGATGTGATAAGCAAGGTGATAAAGTGGAAGAAATAAATGATATCTTTACTACAGAGAAAGTCTATGTATTCATTTCCTAGGGCTGCTGTCAAGAGTGCCATAAATCATACAGCTCAAGACAGACATTCATTATCAAACAGGTCTGGACACTAGAATTCTAAAATCAAGGCATCAGTAATGTCAAGCTTCCCGTGAAAGTTGTTTGGGAGAATCCTTCCTTGCTTCCTCCAGCTCTTGGTTTTTCTTTAGTTCAAATTTGATTTATTTATTTTAAAGTTTTCTTTTTATATATATTATTTTATTTAAATGTTTTTTTTTCATTTTACATACCACCCATAGTTCCCTCCCCTCCACCTCTCCCCCATCTCACCTCCCATCCACTCCTCAGAGAGGGTAAGGCCTCCCATGGGGAGTCAAAAAGGTCTGGCACATCAAGTTGAGTTAGACCCAAGCCCTTCCCCTCTGCATCAAGGCTGAGCAAGGTATCCCTCCATACCTTGGGAGTGGACTCCAAATAGCCAGTTCATGCACCTGGTATACATCCTAGTCCCACTGCCAGGAGCTCCACAAACATACTAAGCCACGCAACAATCACCCACATTCAGAGGGCCTGGTCCAGTCCCCTGCAGGTTCCCCAGCCATCTATACAGAGTCTGTGAGCTCCCCCTTGCTCAGGTCAGCTGTCTCTGTGGGTTTCCCCATCATGATCTTGACCCCTTCTGTTTGTACAATCCCTCCTCCCTCTCTTCGACTGGACTCCAGGTGCTCAGTCCCGTGCCTAGCTGTTGATCTCTGCATCTGCTTCCATCATTCACTGGATGAAGGCTCTATGATGACAATTAGGGTAGTCACCAATCTGATTACAGGGGAAGGTGTAACACGAATTGCTAAATGGTCTTTTTATAAAAAACCCAGAGCCTGATATTGGGGTAAATGCTGAAAGATCAGAGAGACAAAGGAACAAACCACCTCTTACCTCTAGGACTCCTCAGTCTGAAAAGCGTTTAGTTCCTGTCTCCTCATGTCTTATGTAGCTTTTCTCATGTAGTCCAGGGTGGCTTTGAACTCACAGAGATCCAGACGGATCTCTACCTCCCGAGTGCTAGGATTAAAGGTGTGTGCCACTACTGCCTGGCATATATGTTTAATTTAGTGGCTTGTTCTGTTCTCTGATCTTCAGGCAAATTTTATTAGGGTACATAATATATCACCACAATTCCCCCTTTTATATAAAATAATAAAAAGTTATAACTAATATAATAAAAACTATATACAATGAGTATATACAATAATACAGCCAAGAATTACATTAACAATGTCTAGTCCATAAACATTTGACCAATTCAGAGAAAATACTCCATTATCTATCCTATTTTGGTGAATCCAAAATGTTGTACCTAATTCACTTTCTATCCTAACTTGTATTACCAACCCCAAACTGTCTTTTGATGTCTTTCAATCTTATACACTTCACACCTCTTTAGGGAGTTTCTTTTCTGAATCTGTTAACAAGGAAAACTATAACTATAGTTTCAACTCTCTCAGAGACCTGAGAAGGAAATATTTACTAAGCAGGAAGTGCAAATAAGCTACTTCCAAAAAAATGTGAGTTATGACAGAAACAGCTGGCTGCCTGGACAGTCACCCAAGGTTCCTCTGCAACTTTGGGGCATCCATCTTTGGCCTACCGGCCTAGAATATCTGACAGACTTTTCTGTGAAGCAGGATTTTCTGAAGGGCCTTCCTATCTTGTCTTGGCAAGTTTTGGCAGTCCTTTTTTTGTGTCCTGCTTGCCCATTTAGACAGCATACTGTCAGCATTTGAGGCAAGGGCACTTTCTTGCCCAGGGGCTAACTTTTGCCACATAGAAAGTAAATTCCATATGGAGTTTCTTTGATGCTTATCATCATCTCTGAAGTAAATTGGTGCTGCCAGGACCAGACATGTCTCATAGTCATAAAAAATAAGAATCTATGTTATTAAAACATCTCAAATGCCATATTCTGTAGATCTCTGAAGTGTTTGAAGATGACCTGTCTATCTAAAATATATCTGTTTGACCTTGAAAACATATATAACCTTACAAGTTCCATTGTAATAGGTGACTATCAATTAACCTGCATTTCTTTATATCCTAATTAGTTGGTAATAACTTTCAAGGACTAGAAAGTTGCATTATATTATTAAACGAATTATGTAGGTACAATATCTTGAACAAGATTAGAAATGTATGTACAGTATGTTCTAACAAAAATAATCTCAAATTTGTATCAATATACAAAAGTTGTATACAATATAAAAAATCCAATCCAATGTAAAATATTTAAAACTAGTAGTTGCTTTTAAAAGTAGATTCAATAATCTACCTTTTTATCATATATCTATACATATATATATATATATATATCATATATCTATATCCTCCCTTTTTTCTTTTCAGAGTAGATTCAATAATCTATCCTTTTATCCTATTATTTCCATATCTTTTTTTTCAGAGTAGATTCAATAATCTACCCTTTTATCCTATCATTCCTATATAATACATTTCTATATCATATCCCCCTTTCTTCTTTTATAAAGAGATTGACTATGACCAATAACAATTTTTAACCAACCACTAAACAAAGACAAACATCCATAATGCATTTTTGGGAATGTGGGCGTAGTGTTCTAGGCTACTTCCTGCTGATATGGGGTGCTGGTAGTTTTATAGGACACAAAGAAAATTTAGAATTATGGTCAAGTCTTGATTGGAGTAGTCTGTGGGGCTGTATCATCTCAGCTAGCCATCTCGATATTGTCCTGAGTAGTCCAAAGCCAATCTTTAGGTGGTATTTGTCAGCTTAGTGGCATTACCATAGCCCTGATGGAATCATCATTGTGAGGTCCCACCATCTTTTTGGAGACTTCAAAGATCACATTGGGTCAGATTATCACTTTTCTTGGTAGTTTTTTTTTCTGGGTAGTTCTTCCTTCTTTTTTTGATGCTTATATATCCAAAGGTCTTTAAATTCTTCAAGATGGTTGTTTTTCTTTTTCTGGAATGACAACAACAAATTCCTTCCCCAACCCTAACTTTGAGGGGGTTTCCAAATCTAATCTTTATCAGTTTTGATTTATGGTTTCTCCTGAATTTTTTGATTTCTCTTTTATAGCTGTTCTATCATCCAGAGCAGTATGTTTTTTATAATAGGCATTAGGTTCTTTAATTGCTCTGAGAAGGAGTTTCTTCCACAACAACAGGAAAGGACTGAAAAGAATTTGACATGTGGGCCTGCAAGAAGCTCCTCAGGGAATTTCCCAATAGCAAAGGCAAAGGATTACCTTGTCTGTCCCTTGTTGATCTACATTTGTTAGTCCAATGTCTGACTTTGCCACACCTTCTGCATAATCCAGAAGGGAGGGGCATTCTGTTAGGATTATTCCTTGAAAAAACATTGTTTCTAGAAACATCCTTTTTATAGTCCCTTCTTAGGGACATTTGACCTTACTATTTTTCTTCAAACCTCTAGGAAATCACCTTTCCTATCCAAGCATCATCATGATCATGAGATTCAATATTTATTGTATCTCAGATCCATTCTTCCAAGGGTGCTGATCTTGCCTTTAACAGCCTAGTTACCCTTTTGCATTGTACACTAGCATTTTCAAAAGCCAGAGGTCCAATTATTACTTGTCTAGCTTCTGAATTTGGTATCATTCTATTTACAGCTGAAGTCAGTCTTTGTAAGAAATCAGTGAAGGTTTCTTTTGGACCCTGTATAACTTTAGTAAATGACTCAATTTTCTTTCCTACTTCTTCAATTCTGCCCTAGCATTCAAGGCTTCCATGTGGCATAAAGCCAGGGTGTGGTTATCATATAAAGATTGTATATCAGCATAATTGTCTTCTCCAAAAATGTCTTCTTCATTGTTCAATGGTCTCAGCCTCATTTTCCCACCAGGTCCTCCATTGTAGTTGGGAATCATCCTCCAAAATTGCCGTAACCAAATCTCCAGTCTTGAGGGATAATTCTATTACAAGTTGACCATGAGTTTAACATCTGCTTCACAAAAGATGAGTTGATGCCATATGAGACTATTCTTCTGTGAATCTAACAGTTGCACAGGAGTCCAGTCAGCTCTTGCACAGCCTTGAGGATATCTGTTACTGGGTAGTTCCTGTAAGGTTGCTGGATAGATTAAGGTTGGCTGTTTGAAAGCCTTAGGCTGTTTCTCTCTAACCTTAGAATGCAATGTTAAGATTGATTCTCCTTTAAATTCTTCTGTCTGGGTCTGTATATCTCTATGATCTGTTTTAACAAGTTTTTCTAAAAACTTTTATCTTGATACTCATATTAACCAACTTTTTAAATGATGAAACAAATAATATTTATAATTGACATTACATCTATCCCATCAATATTAATTATCCTCTCATTTAATTGTTCCATTTTTAAACCATCAATTGTTATTGTATTATCAAACAGAGACCAATCCCCCACCATTGTAAAAATGTTTCTCATTTTTTAATGTGGGAAAAAACTTTTTGTAACTAATTCCTCCCTTTAAGAAATCCCAATTGACTCACCAAATCTGCTGACAGTAACGATTCAGAGGACAATGTGGCAGCAGCCTGAGGAAGGGGCTCATGGAAAGTCAAAACCCATCAGGAGAGGAAAGAAGCAAAAGATCCAGCCATCTGCATGGGGGAAGTGTGCAAAAGTGGCTAACCCTGTAGTTTTTGGAGCCCAAAAACCTATCGAGTTTGCTGCAGAGAGGCTGCAACAAAAACTTAGCCAGCAGGTTAGGAAGTCCGGCCCAGGTGGGGTGGAGATTTCAGCTGTGCGTCGCTCAGGCCTGAGCCAGGGACCACAAGGCCACAGGTAAGTGGCTTTTTTTTTGTGAATTAATGCCCCACGTTGGGCACCAGATATAACACAAATTCAGAAGGTCCATTCAGGCACTCTTTCCATGATTGCTAGTGATCTTAGCTGGGGTCATCCTGTGGATTCCTGGGGATTTCCCTGGCACCAGGTTTCTCCCTAACCCCATAATGGCTCCTTCTATCAAGATATCTCTTTCATTGCCCTCCCTCTCCATCCCTTCCCTAGTCAACCATCCTGTTCCTTCCCTCATGTTCTCATCCCCCATCTTCTCCCCCGCCCAACTCCCTCCCAGTTTACCCAGGAGATCTTATCTATTTCACCTCCCAGGGCATTTCATGCATGTCCCTGTTTTCTTATTATTTTATTTTATGTGTATGGGTGTTTTGCCTACATTACGTCTGTGCATAACTTGCATACCTGGTGCCTACAGAGACCAAAGAGGTAGTCAGATCACCTAGAACTAGAATTATAGATGGTTGTGAGCTACTGCATGGGTGCTGGGAATAGAACCAACATCCTCTGGAAGAGCAGCAAGTGCTCTTAACTACTGAGCCACCTTTCCAGCCACAAATGTTGCTAAGAGCTTTTGGTGTTCCTTGGAGTAGTTTTAGAGAAATGATTATTCAACTCTGTTTATTAAAATACAGCCAGATTGCTTTGCAAAAGATTCTTAAAATTGGGGAGGGACATTTGGAAGGGACATTGGGTTCAACCCCAAACACAGCTTGAGAAAAAGGGAATTAGTAGCTAAGAAGCATACCGATCCATGTCAATAGATGGAAAATGGCTAACAAGAAACATGGGTAATAAAGGTGATTATGACTAAACCTATCTAAGAGGATTCTTACTGAAAACAGGTCAGGATTCTCAGATGTCATTTACATGGTGGTAGAGGAAGAAGAGCCTAATCTGAAATTGAGGATCATTAGACACTGCAGAGTGGAGAGGGGGTTCTTTGTTAACCCTGGGATCTTCTAAAAAATCATGGATGAGCTTAAGAGAGGTTCAGAGGCCTAGACAAAGTTTGATTAAGCAGAAAATCTTTGCTCTTGTTCAAGAAATGAAGAGATCTTGGTGGTACAGGCCTGCAGTTTCAGCTATCTGGGAGGCTGAGGCAGGAGGGTCACAAAGTCAAAGCCTGTCTTTGGTATAAACTGAGTTCAAGGCCAATTTGAGCAACTTAGTGAGGCTCTGCTTCAAAAAAATTTAAAACGAAGGCTGGGTATATGCTTTAATTATAGAGAGATTACCTAGCCTGTGGATGGCTTCTGGGTTTGATCCACAGCACTGAACAAAAATTTAACAATTAATGAAGAGACACTCCCTTTTCCTTTGAACAATATAAGTCAGCTCTCTCATTTGTTCACCTTTTATTAGAGACTGGCTGAATCATGTGTTACGGCATGGTAGTAGAGGCTCTCTGTTGGTTGATGCCCATAATCAGACATTTTGTAATGAGAAATTTTTATGAAAATGAAGAAAACAAAGATTATTGTTGTACCGGGAAACTCAGTTTCTGAGTATAGAGGGAAGTCAGCTGACGTTTCCCATTATTAGGCTTAAGCGCTGCAGTGACAACCTCACAGATTTCCTGGCTAGCAGTTTGAATATCTCTGATGATAGTATTGAGCATTATGATAATCTAATGCATACCCCAGCCATCAAGACCACCACTCCACTGAGGACAGGGAGGCATTGGTGAGTAACACCTGACTCTGTCTTTCACATATGTACCATGATTCAAGTGAAGTGGGAGTGTCTACAGGAAACCTTCCCCCTCCATACAGATACACACAGCCTCCTCATATGCAGTGTAGACCCCATTGCCTCATTTGCTGAATCCTGGGAGATCCAGATCCATGACTCTGGGACTGTTTCACTATGGCTTTCCTACCAGGAGCCTTCCTGACGCATTGCATAAAGCCATATTCCTGGTCTTAAGCACGCCTAAGTGTTGTTCTGCAGTGTCTGAGTCATCCTCTTCCGCATCTGCCACACTGCTCAAATGCTGGACATGGTTGCCATGGTGATCTCTCCAGTACAGACAGGGCTCTGAGGATAGGTCTCTGGCCCCAAATGCTGCAATATCCTGCTAAGGCTTCATGAGCACACTTCAACGGGTTTTTAGAGTCTAGGTGCAATGAAAACATTGGCAGAAGCTTAAAAATAAACCAGCTATTGCAAAGAGTTATTTGATTAAAAAATTATGACTCACTGTCCCATTGAAAAGAGAGGCTGTTTGTTCAGAAGTAGTAGAGGGACACCAGCCCCACCCCCACTGAAAAATAAGCTCCAGAAGCCCAGCATACATCCTGTGGTCTGTGTGGGCAGAGGAAAGGGTCAGGACATGAAGGCTCAGGCCAGGCAAGCTGCCTTGGTAAATCTCACAGGAACAGAGGGAATGGACAGATTGGGAGCCTTCCATAGTTGTTCTAGAATCCTAGGGTGTGCAGGTACACATGGCATTGCCAATATGGGAAGTTGAGAGTATGATATTATTATATGACAAGGGGCTCTTAGGCCACAGGAAAACCCTGGGGAGGGATCTGGAGGGCTGCAGAGGCAAAAGAACAGGACTAAGAACTGGGAAGGAGTCTAGTTCCAGGCACAGGTACTGCATGTAGTATTTCAACTGATCACAGGCTCCAAGGGTTGCCCTGTCATGCACTGCACTTAGCAGTGCTCTTGCTCACATCTGAATTCTCAGCCCAGGTGCCTACACCTTCCTGAGACCTCTATTTAGTAGACAACCAGACAACCACAGGGTCCATATTTTCATGGCATTATAGTTGTGGCCTTCCTGGCAATGAGATCACTTTCCATTTGTTGATTTATCTGATGCTAGTCCCAAATACTATGCCAGGGAGAAAGGAAGGGTAGGGTGAACCTTGATGGGAAACCATTCCTGTGAGGAATTGCCCTCAACCACAGAGCAGACACTATGACATGCTCTGTCAGCAAATGTCCTACTAAACAGAAATCCAACTAAACATCATATTTTGCAGAAGCATCATCCATCTGATCTCTCAAGACGTTTTCTAACCTTATAAAAGAAGGTTATATTCAAGGATCTATGAGGATAGTGGCCCTCTGAATGATCAGGACTGACAAGGCACCCCTAGATTCTGCAGAAGGAAGGGTAGAGTGCAACATATTGTGATTAACTCGGAACCTGGAGCCCAGTTATAAACTTCACAATCTGAGTAGGGGCTAGGAGCCATAAATGTGGCCTACACCTTGGTTGCCTCACAAACTGGCTATCTGGTAATCCCTGGCTACAAGAGAAGGAAATGGGATCTCCAAATAGGTTGCTCTAGAGTCTGGGGTCTAGACCTTGCCAGCATCTTTAGTGACAGACTGGATTTGTGCTGCATTTACTCCTTCACCAGATTTTGGGAAATACTTCAGGATTTGAAGAAGTGTGAGATATATAGGACATCTGAGCAAATGGGAGGAAAGGGGTGCTGGTAGGAGGACACAATGAGGAAGGAGGCTATCTAAGTTAACGTTCTATTCCTATGACAAAACACCATGACCAAGGCAACTTATAAAATAAACATTTAGTTCAACTTACACTTTCAGAGAGTTAGACTCCACAATGATAGAGCAAAGGCATGGCAGCAGGAAGAGTTGAGAGCTCAGATTTTAAACCTCCACTGGAAGGAAGAGAGATAAACTGGGAATGGCATAGGTTTTTGAAACCTCAAAGCCTGTCTGCAGTGACAAAGTTCCTCCAACAAGGCCACACTACCTAATCCTTCCCAAACAGTTCCATCAACTGAGAAAACAAGTATTTATATACAGGAGTATATGGGGGCCATTCTCATTCAAACCACTACAGAAGCCCTGGGCTAACAATGAGAGAAATGAAGCCTAGGATTAGAGGAATGGGTTCTCAGAGAAAGAGGAACACACAGGATTAGGATCTTGGAGAAGTGTTGGGTTAGGATGGGCAGGGATCCTGCAGAGCTTTCTGGACAGGGTAATAGTGGATTTAGGAATTCACAATGGAGCCACACACTAGTGGTCCTTTCAGGATACCAACAAGGGTGTCACTCCAGTAGTACTGCTGTTTGACATACAGGTAAAGCATATATGTAAGGTCACCAGGAGTAACTGAATAATGGGCTTAAGCAGTCATATTCTAGTTTGTTTTCTGTTGCTGTGATAATACCATGACCAAAAGCAACTTGGGAGGTTTACAGGTGATAGTCCATCATCAAGTGAAGCCAAGACAAGAACTCAAGGCAGAAACCAGGAGGCAATAACTGAAGCAGAAACCATGGAGGAATGTTGTGTATGGGCTTGCTTCCCCTAGTTTGCTTAGTTGCCCAGGTTCTTATTCAACCCAGGACCACTTACCCAATGTGGGTACCACTCACAGTGGGCTGGACCCTCCTGTATCAATCAACAATATAGAAAATGATCTACAGATATGCCTACAGACAAGTCTGGTGGAGGCACTTTCTCAGTGGAGATTTCCTCTTCCAAGGTGACTCTAATTTCTGTCAAGTTGACAAAAACTGATCAGCACATTTAAAGTCTTGCCAACTTGACACACAAACACACCACTATTAAACAATAGCCATTCATTACTTGTTTATCCCTCAAATCTCATGCTAATATCACAATATAAAACACAATATAACTTTAAAAGCCTACAGTCTTTAAAAACTCAAACACTTTAAAAGTTCAAGTTATCATTTAAAAAAAACTGTAGTCTTTTAACTGTGGGTTCATGTAAAACAAAAAACATATATATATTTTCTTACTCCAAAAGTGAAGAACCAGGGAAGAAGAACAATCACATTAAAGAAAGTCAAAGTCCAAAATCCTGTAACTCTATGTCTGACATCTGGAACTCACTCATGGTCTTCTGGACTTTAAAGGGCTTGGGTAGTCCTACTTCTCCAGCTCTACCATCTGCAGGGACAGCTGTGACTGACTGCCTTTGGTGGTTGTCCTATGGTCCTGGAATCTCCAATATCCCAGGGTATTCACAACAACTGAAACTAAACGTTAACCAGTGGCCATCTACAGTGGTCTTAGCTGTTGTTCATGGTGACTGTTTTGTTCCTTCAAAACCAGTACCACATGGGGAGACTCTAATGCTGTGGGATGTTCTGTATGGCAAAGGTGTTGCTCTGATTGGTTAATAAATAAAACACTGATTGGCCAGTAGCCAGGCAGGAAGTATAGGCGGGACTAACAGAGAGGAGAACTGAGGGAACAGGAAGGCTGAGGCGGAGAGACCTGCCAGCCACCACCATGACAAGGGAGATGTAAAGTACTGGTAGGCCATGAGCCACATGGCAAAGTATAGATTAATAGAAATGAGTTAATTTAAGATAAAAGAAGTAGATAACAAGAAGCCTGCCACGGCCATACAGTTTATAAGTAATATAAGCGTCTGAGTGATTATTCTATACGTGGGTTGTGGGACTGCGGGGGCTTGGTAGGACCTGGAGAGAAGCTCTCCAGCTACACTCTAACATATTTTCAGGCTTGACTTTCAGTTTAAGATGCAGCTTTGGGCCCCCTCTGGACCACGGTTCTGTGTGCTAACCCCGGGGAAACACTTCTCAGATGACTCCACACCAGTGATGCTTGTCTCTTATTAATCACAAGATTTTTCAGCCCTACCTAACAAGCATCACACATAAACAAGTGTGACAGTAAAACAAAGGTTTCATTTCAATGGTGCTGGACTCTTGTTAATCACAGCTGATTTTTCAGCCACAGCCGGGAATGAGAAACCACAGCTTCTTAATTCAAATATATCACATGAATGGACCATGAATAGAATTTTTGAGGAACTATCAAACTTCCATCTGACATTTGACAAACTATGCTTCTTTCATCTAATTTGTCTCAAATTATCTCCCAAGCTTCCAAAGAAGAGCCAGTTAAGCTGAGTACTCAAATGGCTTTTACATCCCAAAGCCTCAAGTTCTCCACCTTCCTCCCACAAGAGTCTATGCCAAAAGCAATATGGTCAGGTCCATTGCAGAAACAACTCCACTCTTCTGGTACCAATTTCTGTTCTTATTTACTTTATGTTGTTGTGATAAACACCACAACCAAAAGAAACTTGAGAAAGAAAGGGTTTGTTTAGTTTACAGGTTGTAATCTATCATCAAGGGTTATAATCTACATCAACCCAGGACAGGAATCAGGAGGCAGGAATGGAATTAAAGACTGTGAAAGAATCCTTCTTACTGGTTTGCATCCCCTGGCTTTCTCTGCTTGCTTTCTTATATAGCCCAGTCCCACCTGCCCAGGCACAATATAACCAACAGTGGTCTGGGCTATTCTACATCAATCATCTATGAAGAAAATGTCCTACAGGCATTCCCACAGACCAGTCTGATGGAGAGAAATCCTCAATTGTAGTTCTTTTGCAGGTGACTCTAGCTTGTTTCAAGCTGACAAAAATTAATCAACACAAGCCACAACCACTTTCAGCAGAGTTTCCATAATCAAATACACAGATGGAATGTATTTAGGGGCAACTGTTTGGGTGCCACTAACACCTGATCTTGGGGGACAAAGATGGCAGCTCTGAGGCTAACAGATCAGCATGAGGAATCAGCATACAGTGGAGTAATCTCCTGTCAGCAATATCACGCAGTAGATTCTAAGAAGGGGTGTCTCAAACACAAAGCTTAGGAAAAGAGAGGGCAGTAGGCTTAGATGCGTGTTAAGCTGGGAGACCTAGCTTACCATCAGAGATCAGGTGGCTCACTTAGTATCTATGGTCTTGCAAACCTCTCTTTGGTCCCAGACCCTCCTGCTGTGCCTTAGAAGCAGTTGGGGTTCACCAAGACTACACACAAAACTAATACAATGTGATAACATTTCTCTTATTCCCTTCCCAGTTCTCTAACAACAGAATGAAAGTCATAGATTGAGCTTGCAGCCGTGAATGCTTCACCATCAACAATGCAGACTCAAGGCAGACAACTGTCCAGTTGAGGGTGCACTTACTGCCAGTTTAGCATCTCCTTTTCTTTTTTCAGAACCATTTTCCTTCCCATCTGTGGGAACCTAATGAAGGTTCATAGTTTCAAGTTATGACAATTTAAAACTCAGCAAAAAACATAGATGGATAGCAGAAAAATGGCAGAGGAAGGAGCTCCAAAGGCAGAGAAGAAACAACCAAAATGTCAGTCAACTGTTTTGGAGCATCAGAAACTAATTAAAAGCTCACAGAGAAAAAAGAGGGTATTAAACTGATGGTGACAGGTAGACAACAGACCAGATATCTAAGATAGCTACAGAACCAGAGGTGAGAGCACAAACCTTGACCCTAAATGATTGCAGCTGCTTGTGATGCCTGATGGTGTCCAGAGAACTGGATTGTAGGGTTGAGCTCCATTCCACCTAAGGACAAAGACATTATTATTAGTCACTAGTGCCTGGGACATGAATTGCAGCTGATGATGAAGAGAAATCAAATGAAACTTTTCTGGAGGATGATGACACAGAATGTAGAAGAGTGAGGAGAGCTGCAAAAGTCCCAAGCTTTCTCAGAGGACTGACCCATAAACTCTAAAGAATGGGTAAGAGTGTGAAGCAGTGCTGTACAGGAGATTTTTTGCAAGCTCTGAAAGGTTTTCTTTGGTTCCATGGGCATAAGGAAATCAGTGTTTCTGGTCTGAAGCATAACTCAGTGGTAGAGTGCCGAGGTGATTTGAGTGAGAAGGGCCTATAGGTGTGGGGGGCCATCCCACCCCCACTTTTTCCCGAGATACTCTTGAGCAGGAACAGCAGGAAATATTAGATAGAAAGATATCTGGAGAGAGAGAAAGAGAGAGAGAGAGAGAGAGAGAGAGAGAGAGAGAGAGAGAGAGAGAGAGAGAGAGAGAGAGAGAGAGAACAAGAACCTTGGGAGGGCCTGGATCCTAATCCATCGGGCCCTGACTGTCTCTGCCAAAGGGCTTTTAAAGGAATGCCAAGGGGTGGAAAAAAAGACCTCCCCCCAGCACAGCCAAGTGCAGGCCAACTCAGACACCTGGTGACCATGCACATGGTCAAGCCATCCCCTAATGCAGCCCTGCTGTTAAAGCAAGCTCAGATCTAACTAGGAAACCTTTGTGGGCTTCCACATATAGATTCCCAGTTGGTAGAACTGTTTAGGAATGTGTGATGGTTTGGTTGTCAACTTGACTACATCTGGAATTAACTAAATCCAAATGGCTGGACACACCTGTGAGGGAGTTTTTTCTTAATTAAATCAATTGAAGAGGGAAGAGCCACTTCTAATCTGGATCTTTGAGAAGGGAAGATGCACCTCTAATCTGGACCACACTTTCTGCTGGTAGACTACATAAAGGACATGGAGGAAGGAAGCTTGCTCTTTGCCTGCTTGTTTTCACCCTCACTAGCAAGTCCATTCCTTCACTGGTGTTAGAGCCTACTTCTTTGGGATTCTGGCATATACTGAAGACTAGTTGAGACATCCAGCCTCACGGACTGAACAACTACTGGATTCCTGGACCTTCTGTTGGTAGACAGCCATTGTTGGAGTAGCTGGACCACAGCCTGTAAGCCATTCTAATAAATCCCCCCCCCCTCTCCTCTCTCTCTCTCTCTCTCTCTCTCTCTATATATATATATATATATATATATATATATATATGTGTGTGTGTGTGTGTGTGTGTGTGTGTGTGTATTCTGTAAACTCTGTTCCTTCAGAGAGAACCCTAACCAACACAGAAGGATTAGGAGGTGTGTCTTGTTGGAGAAGGTGTGTCACTGAGGATTAGCTTTGAGGTTTCAAAAGCCCATACCAGGCCCAGTCTTCTCTCTGCCATATACTTGTGGATCAGATGTAAGCTCTCAGCTACTGCTCCACACCATGCCTACCTGCCTCCTGCTATGCACCCCATCATGGTTGTCATTGACTCGCTCCGAAACTGTAAGGAACCTCCCAATTAAATGTTTTCTTTTATAAGTTACCTTGGTCATACTGTCTCATCACAGCAATAAAATAGTAACTAAGGCAAGTGCTAACCTAGCATAGGTGAGGCCCTGGATTTAAAAAATCCCAAATACCACACACACATACACATACAAACACACACACACACACACACACACACACACACACACACACACACACACCAATCTGAATTATCATTACCTGACCACAAAGTTAACAGAACATAGTTTCATAATTAATAAAGAAGGCTCCCAGTACTTCCCTCCACTTTCTTCTATTGCTCTTCCTATGAAATGAATGAAATGCATTTCTATATTCAGATTATCCAGTGTCACCACTGTGGACAGTTAAACTGAATCAAAGCCACTATCATGTGCCTCAATTGGAAAAGACAGACAGACCCATGGGTAGAAAATTGTATTGCTTAGAATTAAAACTCAAGGTCATATGCTAATGGTATTTGAAGTTGGGGCTAATCCCTCCCCCTCTCAGCACTCCGCTCCATTACCCCTTTTCATACACCTCCCATTTCATCTACCTCTGGCAGCCAGCCTTGGAAGATGCTATGGGTTTACCAAAAGGATAGCCAATTTTGGCTAGCTAACCCCAGGAAGAGCTCTAGGTTCCTAGCTGGCTCTCCAGTTTGGAACCACACACTTCATCAGACTTGCCACTACATGACAGAAACAAATTGGCTCAGAGGCAAGGTGGTGGTAAAGGAAAGACATCATTAGTGTAAGATAGCGCTGCTGGAGAAAGCAACCATAGACACCTTGATTCAGGATAGTTTATGACATGGATAATCACAGACCAGTGAGGGATTCTGGGAAAAATGACATGATTTTCTAAGCACAAGATGTTTTTCAATTCAGCAAATTTCAAGAACAAATATCATTACTTCCTAAGTTTATTCTTCTGACTGACGTGGTTGCATAAGTGCAGTTTGTGCCATATTACAAAATTAATAGGTGAAGGCAGTGGATCTCAACCTTCCTAGTACTGAGACCCTTTAATATAGTTCCTCATGTTGTGGTGACCCCCCACAACCATAAAATTATTTTCGTTGCTACTTTATGAATGCAATTTTGCTACCATTATGAATCAAAGGTAAGTATCTGTGTTTTCTGATGGTTTTAGGTGATCCCTGTGAAAGGGTCCTGTAACTCCCAGAGTGGATGAGACCAACAGGTTGAGAAGCACTGCACTACAAGGATGGCTGCTCTGAGCTCTGCTTGCTAATCATCAAATTGGTAGTAATAAAAGTTATTGTGGATATAGAGGGTCAGGTGAGGCTAAATGAACAGTTAAGTAGAAGACCAGTTAGCAAAACTCATTTTCCAAACCACATTGAAAAATAGCACAGCATTCTACTGAAGACTTGAATACACACCGACCATACAATTCAAACAATCTATGCATAAGTGTCTTCCAAGGCCAAGTTAAAGCATACATCAAGAAATCTTGAGGATGGATGTGCATAAAACCTTGATTTAAAGATTTAAAGCAGCCACAGATTAGAAACTTCCAAATGTCCATCAGAGGCTGAGCACATGAACAAGCAGGAAAACACTAGACAGCAAAGAAAGCAGACAGAGCCTTGGCTAAGGCAGCAAAATAAGAGAATCTCAAAAGGAACTGCTATTAGGATTGAAAGAAGCCAGATGCTTCAGAAGGTCCATACCGTGGGATGTGTGTCTCTGTGAGGATTTGACAATCAGCATTTGTGCACAATTCCAGAAAATACAAAGAAGCCCTCATTTTCCCGAAAGCGTATCTGTGTTTGCCTAGAGACAGGGAAAAGAGTGTCAGGGTGAGGGAGAGGGAAGCATTGCTAAGGGCTTGAGAACATGTTCTTAGCTACAGTGAACATTCTAGGTGTCACTTGTCGAACCTACCCAGTGGCATATTTTGTTGTGTATCAGAAATATCTCAATACAGCCTCAAAAAGTCAAGGGAAGAAAAACCACCTAGAAACTCATTAAACAGTGGGGAAACAGGAAGTCGCTGGACTTGTCTGCCATTGCTGTCTCTGAAAAAAAGGAAGAGGGACTGAGGGCTGCAACACCATCAGAAGAAACTATGTTAGAAACGGTACAAACAGGAGGCAAGATGAGAAAACCACAGCTCAGGGAAGTGAATGAACTCCAAGAAAAAACCATATGAAAGGCTCACAAAGAGGAAAGCGGCTTCCAAATGAGAAATACAGACAGGCTACTACTAAAGGTGTGTGTGTGGGGTCTTGATTACTTTTCTACTTCAGTGAGAAAACACCATGACCAAGGCACTTATGCAAGAGTTTACAAGAGTTTGCTTGCAGGCAAGCATGGTGTTGGAGCAGGAGCTGGGAGCTGGGATCTTGATCCATAAGCAAGAGGCATGGAAAGGGCCAACTGGGGATTTGTATGGGCAGGAAAAGCAGTAAACACTACAGCTCCCTGGGTTCTCCATAACACAGAATATCTGGGTTCTGGGGGGGCTGGTAATCATTAACTGCCTGTGCAGCTGTGGCCTTTGTAGTGACAGCATGGGTTCCTACAGAGCAGAAGAACATGGTCTCCACCACCAGCAGTGAAACAAGAATGCCTTGTGTTGAATCATATCCCAGATTCTGCACTCAGGCCAGTGCTTGAATAACAACACGGAACCAAAATGTTGTCAAAGGTAAAGCAGAGATGGTATGAACACCAGTTCCATAGGCGCTTGGTTACAGGCTGAATATTTAATGATATTAGTCTGCCTGCCTTTTGAGGACTTGCATGCATAGGAGACAGATACAGAAAGTGTATTTGGTGATTGCTGCATTGAGTCTAAATTAAACTCACCTTTCAGAAGATCCCGGGACAAAAAAAAGAATAAGATACACACTCCCAAGAGAGTCCTATCATTCTGTACCTCCTATCATTCTGCCTTCTGGACGGTAGAGGTAGAGAGGAGGTGAAAGGCTCTGGACTGACTGAGGTCTCACCACACTGTGGGAGAGTCGAGGATCTGTCTGTTAGGCAGAACCGATCCTGAAATGAACAACAACTTACAGTACTCACATTTTGGTAGGCCATGAACTGTCACTTCATAGTCTTAGACATCGGGGATATTGTTGCAAGGAGGACATGGCAGCAGCAAAAGGCACCCAGTACATTTGTACCGCAGCAAAGCATTACCTTTTGTGAAGTGTGTCCAGATGTGTCCCAGTGAGATTCTGAAAGAGAAGACAGAAAACATTCCTGACCCATACATATTCTTTTGAGCAGCTGGGTGGCTCACACCTGTTGGGTGCTTTGCTTGAGGACAAAAGCACCAGGCTTTCATAGGCTCATTTGCAAAAGCCTGGGACACCCTGGCGGGGGTGGGAAATCAGCGGATCCTAAAGTTGCTCTGGTTGGGAAAAGGTCCACAGAGGGGGTTAGCTAAGTGAGTTCAGGCCAGAGAAACAGGCAGTGGCCTGGAGTGAAATGTGGCCTTAACCAAGGACTGAAGCCAGGAGGTCAGACTCTCTCTGTGCTGACACTTTGATCCTGGTCAGAGAGAAAGTTCCAGGCATCCCGGGTTGCCAGAAAGAAAAGTCACTGGCTTTGAAAACCAGATGAACAAGACATCCTCAGGACAGAGGGAGATGAGATTAATCAACAGTCTATTGTATTGGGCATTGAATGCATGCCAGGCATTGGTGAAAAACGTTGGCCGTACATGACCACTTTTCATGCTCATAAATATCCCTTTGTACAGCCCAGGACTGCAAAGGTAAGGAAAAGAAAAGAACATACAGTAACATGTCCAAGGTAAGCACCTCTCCTAAGCCATGGCCTTTGCTGCATCTTAGGTACACTGTGGCCCGTGGTTATGACACACAGGTCCAGGGACACCTGGAAGCATGTGATGGAAGGTGAATTGGTTCCCCGAGAAAAAAGAATACGGGGGAAGCTGGGACAAAACCCTCAGTCCTGATCACTTTTCGCTGTTGGTTTCAAAGCAGGGTTTGGGCAAAGGGACCGTCCTGAAGGAAACTGCCAGGATCCTTCTGGAGAGTTTCCAAAATTCCAACTTCAGGAAGGAACTCAAGTACACACTGGTTACGTCTTAGCCTCTAAGATCCTGCCGCCAAGTCAGCTTTGTTCCCAGGTCCATCTTCTCCATGCCCTCAGGTAGCAGGTGGTCAGCAGTGCATTAGAGCTGCCAGAACGCCATGCTTCTTCATATCTTCTGCCCACCCTGAGGCTGAGTGTCATCCTTTTGTGAGCCCTGGCTGCTCAGGCAGGACCAACACCAAAGAGTCAAAGGGGTTTCCAACCTCATGAAGGGGGTAGAGCGGGGAAGACAGAGAGAAAATAAGAGAGGAGGGTGAGAAAGAGGAAGAGAATTAGGATGATTAGATAGTGATAGACCAAGATCTTACTTCTCACTATAGACTCACCCAGAAGAGACCCAGGGTCCACTCTATGAAACAAGGCACAGGGAATTGAATCCAGTTCCTCTGGAACATCAGTCAGTGCTCTTAACCACTGAGCCACCCCCAGACTCAGAAAGACAAACACAGTATGTACTCACTCATAAGTGGATACTAGATACATAAAGCAAAGGACAATCAGACTACAACCCACAGCTCCGGGGAAGCTAGGAAACAAGGAGGACCCTAAGAGGAACTTAAGAATCACTTTGGGAAGGAGAAGGGGAAACAGAGGAGATCTCCATGAGTAAACTGGGGATGGGGGGGGACAATAGAGGAGAGGCGATGGGGGATGAGAACATGAGGGAACAGGATAGTCAAGCTGGGGGAGGGATGGAGTGGAAGAGCAATGGAAGAGATACCTTGAGAGAGGGAGACATTATGGGGCAATGCAGCAACCTGGTGCTAGGGAAATTCCCAGGAATCCACAAGGATGACCCCACATTAGACTACTAGCAATAGTGGTGAGGGTCCGAGAACTGGCCTACCCCACTAATCAGATTGGTGAATACCCTAACTGTCATCATAGAGCCTTCATCCAGTAACTGATGGAAGCAGATGCAGAGATCCACAACCAAGCACCAGGCTGAATTCCAGGAGTACAGCTGAGGAGAGGGAAGAGGGATTTTATGAGCAAGGTGCATCAAGATCATGATGGGGAAACCTACAGAGACAACTGAACCAAGCTCATAGGAACTCATGAACTTTAGACAGACAGCTGTGGAACCTGCATGGGACTGGACCAGACCCTCTGCATATGGGAGACAGTTGTGTAGCTGGGTCTGTTTGAGGGGTCCCTGGCAGTGATGATCAGGTACATGATCTGGCTTTCTGGATCCCATTACCTATGATCAGACACCTTGCTAAGCCTTGATGGCAGGGGAAAGAGGCTTGGTCCTGCCTCAACTGAACGTACCAGACTTAGCTGTCCCTCCCCTCATGGGAAAACCCTATAGGAGAACTTACCCTTTTGGAGGAGGGAAGGAGGGATGGACCAGGGTGGGCTAGGTGGGGCGGGGAGCATGAGGAGGGATGAGACAGGGATCTGTGGTTGGTATGTAAAATGAGTAAAATAAATAAAATAAATACAGCACAGGAGAATGAATTGCAAAGAGTCACAAAGGGGGTAGTAATTTGATTGTTTATCTATTGTCTTTTGTCATCTCACAGGACCAAAACATCTGGACTGAAAAACAAAGTGTTTTTGTGTTGTAGATCTTTTCTGAATGACAGGTGCCTGAGCATGTGTTCTGAGACCTGTTGTAACAATCGAACTTTAAAAAGTGGTCTACTATTTCAAGACGGTGGGAGCCCTCAGAAAGAGCAGGGCTCACAGCCGAGAGCAGTGTCATGGGATTCTCCCAGAGCTCAATTGGCCAGGGTATTGAGAGGACAGAAGGGGGTCTTTTGGCAAGGGCTCATCTTATTTCAGCCTTGCCAAGAAGTTTGCACTGAGTCAACGTGCAACAGGCAGCCATTCTGACCATTTAAGGCCAGGCCAAGGATGTAATAAGTCACCTTTACAGATGAATCTGGCCACCGAGTCCAGCTGGGAATTTGGAGGAAAGGAGTGACCTGTTAGAAGACCATGGTGGGAATGCAGGGAACACAACGGCATTACAGTTTAAAGGTTCCCCGGCATTTGAGAGTCGGTGGCCCCAGAAACCGCCTAGACACGGCATGGTGTCTCCAGGTACATATGGAGAGGGAGGATACGGCGATGCTTCTCCAACACTGTTTCATCTTCATCCTGGATCAATGCTCACTATCCATTATCCTTTGGAGAAGCCTGATGGGGGAGTCACAAAGAAGAGGAAGGCACAGTGTTGTGGACTGACCCATCACTCACAAATACTGTCTGGCACTTCTGAGGTTTGCTCAGTGACTCCCTTTAAGGCACTAGTGCATGCTGTCTCTTTTACTGTAAAATTCCTTGGGAATCCATGCATTAGCCCACAGACTCTGCTTCAGTCTGGAACAACATACTGCAGTCTCATGGGGGACAGACGGTCAGGTGGCAGGCCCATAGCAAATTGGCTCCCTGCTCATCTTTATGCCCTCCACATCAGCAAAACTGCCCACACACAGCCGTCAGGGAGAAATGAGTCAGTGTGACTCTGGGCACTGCCTAGACTTCAGATCTTCCTGCTTCCCCACACCACTGTGAACAAGAGCAGACCTTGATGGGGAGAGCTGCTCACCCCTGTACCCTCCTCCCTAGTTCCTTCCTTCTTCCCCCTGTTACACTAAGTTCCAGGCTCCATGGATGGCAGGCTCCATGCAGGTCCCACTAGCACCGGAGGCATCTGCCATAGTGACCTGGTGCATTACAGCTCTGTCTGCTAGACAGGTTTTCCATGCAAGACTGGCAGCTCATTATCTTCAGAGAAGCCTTCCCTGGGCTCCATGGTGCTCCTCTGCAGCCTCCTGGACCCTAGAGGAGTGTGCCAACAATCATCTTCTTCTCGGCCCCGAGAGTTTTGCCACTTCCTTCATCACATTTCATGTTTTCTGGCAAGTCTATCGTCACGTTCTCGGTGGAAAATAATTTCGCTGAGTACAGGGACAGCCTGGTTGGGGAGGGCTGGCCAACGTGGCTCTCCAGGAATACTTGTGAATCATGAAATGAGGGGCACCAGTGGCACCTCCTCCCATTTGAAAGGCTCATCTTCCCTCCAGGGACATTGCACGGGACTCTTTGTCTTTACCCCTGTTACAGTGCTTAGTATTCTGAACACTTCTGGTTACAGGTGGGATGAACACTCAAGAAGTGTAGAAATGGATGTGGGACTTTATGGAAAGTGCAGAGAAAGGACTTGGACAGCTGTGGTCCTAGAAACTGTCCCGGTCTCCTTACTGTGGTTGGGGATCTTAAGTAGTCACTGTACGGGTCCCCTTACTGTGGTTGGGGATCTTAAGTAGTCACTGTCCCGGTCTCCTTACTGTGGTTGGGGATCTTAAGTAGTCACTGTACGGGTCCCCTTACTGTGGTTGGGGATCTTAAGTAGTCACTGTACGGGTCCCCTTACTGTGGTTGGGGATCTTAAGTAGTCACTGTACGGGTCCCCTTACTGTGGTTGGGGATCTTAAGGACTGTCTCTGAGACAGATTTGCAGACTCTGGTGATATTCCTCTGCAGCCATTTCTCCAGCCATGGCACTGACATGTGTGGGTCAGTGATCTACAAAGGCAGAGTAGGAGCTTGTGGAACCTGGCCCTGTGGTTGTCCTCCAATTGATGTTCCTTCTCATAGGTCTCCTGCTCCCATGAAGAGAAGATCCTCTCCCGTGGCCACATCACACTGTCTTATCATCAAGCCCCACCCAGCAATCATGGCTTTACCCATGCTGCCCATCTTGGATAGACACCTGAACAGGTGAGGCAAGGCTCATCTGTCCCTTCTGCCCGCCAGCATCCCATCCCAGACCACTAGGGATGGCCAAGCCCTAGGTTCCTGCCCCTTGCCTCTGCTGGTACAAGCTCTGCTAGGTGCAGACAGCTGGCCTTTTCCAGAGGGCAAGGATCCTATCTGGGTCCCAGCTTCTCAGAGAGAGATGGAAAGTCCTGCCTCCTGGCCCACAGGGACTGTGTCCCGTTCTCAAGTTCCTGTTGTCCTATCCTGTGTGGGTTCTGCCATTAGAGAAAGCCACACAGAAAGCCTTGTATAAACCAGACAGACTGGGGTGCTGTGACAGGTCCAGGTGATGGCATGTAATATTCCATGGCCACCATAGTCTGATCACACAGACCTGATGGGATGCTAAGTACAAATGGCTAATTAATACTTGAAACAGTGCTCCACTTCCTCAGCCAGAGGGAAATCACATACAAAACCTGCTGTAGCCCATCTAACCCAAGTCAGAACGGCCACTGTGAAATAAACAAAGGACAGGTCGTAATGAGGATACAGGGAAAGAGGAACAGAGTGTGAACTTGGGGAACCATGATGGGAATGAGTATGGCGGCGATTCCTCACAAAACAGCAACAGAACTACTCTATGACCCAGCTCTGCTACCCTTGGTCACAGACACGAAAGACTCTAACTCTACACACCACAGAGATATTTGTGCATCAGACTCAGACAAACACCATTTTTCTGCAACCGTGAATCCAAGATACAAAATTGTGGATGGGGTGGGGCGATGACACCTGTATGAAGAAATCAAGATGAAACCCATTACTTTTCGTTTGCCATTACATTCCAATAAAATAAAAAAGTTTAAAAACAGAACAACTCTGTCTTCTGGGGGGCAATTCTGCTACGTAGAGGGGCATCTGGAGTGACTGTAGTGGAGTCTAGAAGTCTTGAGGAAAGGCCCCATGGTTTGGGCATTTTAATTTCTGTAACCTATCCGATGCCATTGGTTTCTGGTAAGCATGGGAGCCCTGTTTCTGAAATGGCAGTGCAGACAGAGGGAAAGTTTGTTCAAACTCGTTTGGAACTAGTTCCGTCTGACAGTTTTCTTATGTTCTACCACAGATTTGGGGGGGGGGCACCCACACCTGTATGCACACTGATGTTCAAATCACTGTCTGCCATTTTGATGACACCACCCTTTCCTTGCACATGCTGAGTTGTGAGCAAGCCCATCCATATGTGTCATAGATACCTTCCATCCTATGGCCCTGCAGACTTAGGTCACTGGTCGGAGCACCAGTGACCATGGGGGTGATTCCTTTGCTGGATCTCTTCCCTCCTGCCTAGGGATGGAGCACTTCTACCTCCCTTTCACAACCCACTTGGCATTCCCTCTTCAACACAGCTTCCCTTGATTCCTACCAGAACTCTGAACATCTGGTCCTCCTTTCTGGACCCGGGACTCCAGTCCGTTTGGGTCTACACCCTGCAGGTTGCCAGCTTGCCTGGCCCCTCAGCAGTTAGCTCTGTGTGCCCGCATTGCCCTTCCCACACCAGTAACATGCCAGCATGCCCCTTTCCACACTCCCAGCCCCGGTGCCAGAAGGTCTGGCTGGTGAGTGGGGACTCTGCCTCTCACCCTCAAGAGAGATTTCAGGCCCTGTTCTCATTTGCCTTCTGGGCAGGGATGGGCACTTCTTGGTCCCAGACAGGGACCTCAGCACCTAAAGGGCATATGCTGAGAGTGAACAAGCACCTGCCTCTGGACCAGGCCCTTCTCAGCTCCTGCCTCCCCACGCCCCCGCAACCACCCCCTCCCAGTTTGACTTTCTTTAACTTACCATTGAGGGATGCTGCCCTAGAGACAAGGTGCTCTTGATTTTCACCTGCCACGTGGCAGTGGGAGTTGAGGCTCTGCAGAACCCCAGGTTCACAGTAGTCCAGGGGCTGGGGCACAATCACGGAGAGGCTGGGGGTGGAGTAGGGTACAGTTTCCAGTCCAGGCTCTCTGCTCCCCAGGAGAAGCTGGAAGGCAGCTCATATTCCTCTGTCTTCTAGATGTCTGTATCCCCAGGGACTGGCACAGGCTCCATGTAGAGTATTTGTGGCAGGGCGTTATGAATGAGCATGCATTCTTTATTCTCTCCTTTGGAAATGTTGCAGAGTGGGGTGGGGGGTGGGAAGGGGGAGCCTACTCAGAAAATGGCTCAGCAGGCTGCGTGGGGAGCTGGGAAGACTCATGCTTTCCTGGGTGCCAGTGGTGGTGGTGACGTTAACGAGGGAGTGTGTGTGTGTGTGTGTGTGTGTGTGTGTGTGTGTGTGTGTTGTGTGAGAGAAACAGAGATAGACAGCGCATGCTCTCATGTCTCTGTGAGCCTGTGAGAGAGACATGACAGAGAGACACACAGAGAAATACACACACACCACACACACGAGAGAGAGAATGCTCTTGCTCCTGTGTGTGTGTGTTTGTGAGAGAGACAGAGACAGAGAGACACACAGAGAAATATACGCACCCACAAATACACACAGACACTAGAGAGAGAATGCTCCTCTCTCTCTCTCTCTCTCTCTCTCTCTCTCTCTCTCTCTCTCTCTCTCTCTCTCTCTCTCTCTCTCTCTCTGTGTTTGTGTGTATGTGCCTGTGTTTGTGCCTGTGTGTGTGTGTGTTTGTGTGTATGTGCCTGTGTCTGTGCCTGTGTGTGTGTGCCTTTTTCCCAGGGTTGGAGACCCCCCCCCCAGGGATGTTGGAATACTGCCTCTAGGCTCCATCAGCCAGGGCTAGCCTAGCTTCAAGGCCACCCCACCCACTTGATTCATGACAACCTTCCCTTAGGGGGCTGGGGACAGAAAACGAGCCACCGCTCCCCCCCTACCGCCCCCCCCCCCCCGTGCCCCACACCAGCAGAAGACATGGAACCCGAATTCCTTCGGTCCAGAGCGCAGTCCTGTCCCCGGCATCCTCTTCCCAAGCGCGTGGGCGCCTCAGAGGCTGCGCCCTGGGCCCCCCACCCCAACTTCTCCCCGCCCCCGCGCCCCCGCCCCCGCAGCCCCGCAGCCCCGCAGCCCCGCAGCAGCCACAGGGGGAACCAAAGAGACAGAAGCCTTCCCAGCTGCCCGGACCACAGACGCCAACACCCCCCGCCCCCCGCCCCCCGCCGCCCTCCCGCCCGCGCCCCGCACGCCAGCCAGCCAGCCAGCCCACGAGCGAGCGGCGGCGGCGGCGGCGGCGGCGGCGGTGGCGGCGGCGGCTGCAGGCTGCTGCGGAGACTGGGCTCTGCGCGCTACCGGCCGGCCGGCGCTCGCCACCCCGGGGCACTCGGTCCCGCCTGCTCGGCCAGCCCGGGCTCCCTGTCCGCAGCTCCCGCGCGAGCCCCCGGCCCGGGTTCCGGCGCCCACCGGCTCTCGCCGCCTCCCCGCCCCCTCAGTTCGCGGGAAGGGAGGTCGCGGCAGCGGCCCGGCGGCAGCGGTGACCGTGGCGACCGTGGCGACCGCGGCGACAGTGGCGGCGGAGGTCGCTGCAGCGGCGGCTGCGGCGGCGGAGGCTGCGGCGGCGACCGTGGCGGAGGCGGTGGCGGAGGCCTCCGTGGCGGAGGCGGAAGCGGAGGTGGAGGCTGAGGTGGAGGCCGAGGCCTCGGCGGCCGCGGCGGAGGCCAGCCTGGGGGAGGCGGCGGCCCTGGCCGGGGAGAAGGCGGAGGCGGTGGCAGCCACCGAGGCCAGCCTGGCGGAGGCCAGCCTCGAGGAGGCCAGGGGGGCCGCTGCGGAGGCTGCTGCGTCGCCTTCCTACGGGAGGGTGGACATGGATGAGGAGCTGGCGGCGGCCTTGGCTGCAGAAGAGGAAGAGGCGGCGGCGGCGGCGGCGGCGGCGGCGGCCGGGGGCTCCGATGGAAACCCAGACTTTCCCACGGCCTCGCTCTACGTGGGCGACCTGCACCCCGACGTGACCGAGTCCATGCTGTACGAGAAGTTCAGCCCCGCCGGGCCCATCGTGTCCATCCGCATTTGCAGGGACAAGATCACCCGGCGCTCCCTGGGCTACGCATATGTCAACTACCAGCAACAGCTGGACGCCAAGCGGGCCCTGGAGACCATGAACTTTGACGTTATCAATGGCAGGCCGGTGCGCATCATGTGGTCCCAGAGGAACCCGTCGCTCCGCAAGAGCGGGGTGGGCAACGTCTTCATCAAGAACCTGGGCAAGACCATCGACAACAAGACGCTGTACAACATCTTCTCGGCCTTTGGCAACATCCTGTCCTGCAAGGTGGCCTGTGACGAGAAGGGGCCCAAGGGCTACGGGTTCGTGCACTTCCAGAAGCAGGAGTCGGCCGAGCGGGCCATAGATGCGCTGAATGGAATGTTCCTGAACTACCGCAAGATTTTCGTGGGGAGATTCAAGTCCCACAAGGAGAGAGAGGCCGAAAGGGAAGAAGCCTGGGCCAGCCCGTCCACCAGTGCTGACTTCAGGGGTTTCGATGATGACTCCGATGATGAGGCCACCTTTCGATGAAGACATCCCAGGCCCCAGCCAGTAGAGCCAAATCTTGGCTCCCACCCCGTTTACAGCCCCCCCACCCCACCCCAACCCACCAGCAGTGTATTGTATTGGGAGTGCAGGTTTCTCTCTCCCTCTCCCTCCTTCTTCACCCCTCCCCCCTCCCTCCCTCCCCCCTCCCTCCCCTCCCCCTTTCCTCTTTCCTTCCCTCCCCCTCCTGCCCTCTCTCCCTCCCCTTTCCTCCTCTTCCCCCCTCCCCTGCCAGCGCCAGCTAGCTGCCCCATCCCCTCTCTGCTCTCTGCCCCCTCCCGCTTCTGTCCTCTCCCTCTCCTTCCTTCTCTTTCTCCCCACCTCCAGAAAGCTCCCCTGCCCCAATAATCCCACTAATCTGTGCCATTTGAGAGGTTAAAGGCTGCCTCTTCTCCCTGTGATCGGTCTGATTCTTAAAAGCGTTCTCTCTTTGTTTACTGCACAGGTGATGCAATTTCGTGGTAGAAATATCTGGAAGGAGAAGGAAGTCTGATGTGGGAGAAAGAACCAAGAGTGCAATTGCTTCCCATCATCCTAATACTCAGAGAGAAAACCTCTTTTACCTTCTTTGGTGTGCTGTTTTTCCAGGCTCTCTGCTACCCCTTTCTCCCCCTCTCACCCCAGACCCACCTTCCCTCTTAACATATTCTTGTAGAGTGGTTCATGTATGTGGTGTTTCCTAACCTGCTTTTTTCAGCGACTAAAACCAAACAGAAATCCACGCGTTGAACTTCTTTCCATGCTATTCAACAGGCTTATGGAACGTCATCTTCAGTGCCTGCAGAGTGCTCCTGTGTATCCATGGACCTTAACATTTCTGTAATCATTCCCGCATTGTTGGACATTCAGGTGGTGCCTAGTTCTTTCCCTGTGTTTAAAACCAACACTGCGTGCCCTGATGAGTGAATCCTTCCTTGTCGAGCCAAATCTAGGCTAGCATCCTGGATGGTCTCTCCTTAACTGTGGACTTGCAGCATCCACATATAGACGTTTCAAAGACTTTCCGTGTGTGTTGCCAAAAGGCTCCCTTTCATAAGCATTGTACCAGTTTGTATTTGTGCCAGCCAGCCAGTGCAGCTAGTAAAAGAAAAAAAAAAACAACCACCGAGTATGCCCATCTCCCTTGCGCAGTCTCATGGTCCACTGTAACTCGTGTGTGTGTGTGTGTGTGTGTGTGTGTGTGTGTGTGTGTGTGTGTGTGTGCACGCGCGCGCGCGCAAGCGCAGCGTCATGAGCTGCAAATGGTATTTCACTGTCGTTATTTCACTGGAATTGAAAGCTGTTAATCACCCCTTTTCTGCATTCCTGCTTCCTTTCCTTTTCCCTCTTGCCAGAAAAATAAATCAGCTATGTTGCAGGAAAAAAAAATCTCTAAGTAGATGATTTAACCTAAGAAATTGAATGCTATCAGCAATCAATCCTAATGACTCCCTTGCCTTCTTGACTTGTACTCATTTGTATGTGCTCAGTGTTTTTCAAGAACTATCTGAGAAATTTTTCCTTGTTGCTTCAGTATTGTTCTTATGCATTGTCATATATGTATATTATAATGTACATTTTGTTTTATATCTGCTTTTCATGTGTGTGTATGTGTGTATATGCACACAGATTGCTGAGCTTTATTTCCTGTCATTAAAGATACTTTTAAAATACTTTTTTTGGCTGTTGGTACTTAATTTGTGTCTTGGATAATGTGATTAATATGAATGTAGAGGTCGATAGATTCATAAATGTGCATACATATTCATGTTTATATCCATCTGTTTTGTGTTTATGTATATTTTAACTCTATACATTCTTGTACATCAACCTTGGGTACATTCAAGATTATTTCCTCAGCAAATGCCTAGAAGAAGTTTCAAGTATTGAAAGTATATGTTACTTCCCTGTGCAAGAAAAGTACATTGTTTAATGGCTCTACTTAATGATGGTAAGTTTTCTTCCTTAGGCTGATCCGGGCTTGAGTGTCTCAGATCTACAATTAGAATCATCTCTACATTTGTGTATTTGGCTTTTCTTTTAAAAGGTTGAAACTCCTTGTGGTTGTCTGTATTTTTGGCATTTGTTTCATATTAATTATACATAATTATAATTAGAAATAAATATTGAAATCTTTTCAATATAAAAAGGGACAATAAATACCCTATATTTCTGAATACCACTAACTTGAAACAGAACATTTAATAGATCTCTGACAATTTATTTATAGTATAATATGCATTATTTCAATGAAGGACATTTTCACCATAACAGTTCTTTAAGAACCATCCTGGCCGGGCGGTGGTGGCGCACGCCTTTAATCCCAGCACTGGGGAGGCAGAGGCAGGCGGATCTCTGTGAGTTCAAGGCCAGCCTGGTCTACAGAGCGAGATCCAGCAAAGGCGCAAAGCTACACAGAGAAACCCTGTCTCGGAAAAACAACCACAACAACAACAAAAACATCCTGTTGTAAATCACTCAATATACTCATGCAATTAAGTTAAAAGTTTCATCACGGTGATAAGCAGTCATATCTACAACCAACTCATCTGAGGGCATGTTTAAAATATTTTTCTGTACAAGATCAAGTCCATGAACACCTCTTTTTTCTCCCTTTCAACTTCATTTCAGACTGAGTGATAGAGACTTGTCAGCTATTTTGCACTCCCTACGTTGTATTTCTTAGAACTTTACACCTCTAGTCATGCTGGAGACTATACATATCACTTCTCACCTCAGTTCCTTCAATTGTTCGATGTGCTTTTCTAAAGTAAATGCCTCATAATACGCTTTTCTTCATAACATTTCATTTAAAATATGAAGCTCTAGCGCAGTGTTCTCAACGTGTGGGTCATGATCCCCTTGGCACACCTCTGTCTCCCCAAAATATTTACAGTACAATTTATACCAGTACCAAAATTACACTTAATGAAGTAGCAACAAAATAATTTTCTGGTTGGGGTCACCACACCAGGAGGAACTGTTTTAAAGGGTCACAGCATCAGGACGGTTGAGAAGCATTGCTCTAACACAGTAAAGGTGGAAGGAAAACGTCATTTTAGTTTCTCTACAGACTTTTTCTATATCTCTATAAGAATTTCCAAACAAACGTAACCATAACTGTATAGAAGTCAGAGTTTTTAGGTGTTTCCTTATTTGGGCTATTAAAATAGATCTCCATGTTTATTGTTCTGTTAGTTTCACAACTATGGTTAATTGTTTTGTGTTGTATTTCCCTTCCTCCCTTATCACAGGGAAAATCATCTAACAGTTGTTTTCCTCTTGCTGGCTGTGGAGTAACACTTAAAAATCAAGATAATTATCAGGAATGTTGATTAGAAAGAAGAAAA